CATAAAGCCTGACGTGCAATACCAGTTTAGCTACGAAGATACGCATCTAGCAGATATGAACGTTCGAGGGAAATCATGGGAAATTTGTAGTTTAAAAGAAGTAAAATCGCTGAAAATTACTGATTATGTCAAATATCTGAAAAAGGTCAGATAGTGGTACAATGTCCGGTATGTGAGTATGACAACAAAGATGAAGATAGTAATCTGAATAAGGAGAATTCCATATCTGAAAAAATTCCAACATAAGAAATAGCCTTAATATTTGTACTAATTTTAAAAAAAGAAGAGATTTATATCTTTAAATAAATATATTAATACAATAAATGCACTTTTAGACAAAAAAAAAGAAGTCAGTATTTAATGAATGCATTCTAACAGAATAATGTTCGGTAGACCTTCCTGGGTATGACGATAAACTTCATCCGACAGCAAGGCATCTAATCATGAGATTTTGAGGAGTGTGGAGCTACCTCTTGATTTCTGGTGTTCCCAGGCCCACCCTGATCTGTTTTGGGTCCCAGCTATGTGCAAAAAGTTAACCCCCAAACTGGGATCAAAACACTGTGAATTGTAAAAATAGGTTTTAATACCAGCAATACATTTTTATAAAAAAATTATTTCCAGCAATGAATTTTGAAGAAAAAATTATTACCAGCAATAAAGTTTTGGAAAAAAACATTACCAGCAATACATTTTTGAAAAAAAAATATTACCAATAATACATTTTGGGAAAAAAATATTACCAGGAATAAAAATCTTGTCGGCATTAAATAACCTATTGAGGTTGATATGCCGTAAAACAAAAAAAAAAAAAAAAACTAAACCAAACCTAAAGTATGGTAGTATTTCAAGTTTTTTTTTAAGATATTAGACAATTGCCTTCTATTGCTGACTTTGAAGAGTGACGGTACAATAGCCAATAAAAAATCTTCACAGGATCAACAAAAATATTAAAATAATAAGAAATATAAGAAGCTATTATGAAAGAATATTCTTTCTGTTTGAATTTTTAGCATGGGGACTATTGTCTTAAACTTTATTGTTTTTATCACAATGTTTTGCCTGTTGTGCTCTCTGGCCTTCATCAAACGTATATCAATCCAGATAACCTACAAGGAATACTGAATTGAACTCTTTATTCAATTTACGAGAGAAGACTGTTGTACTTGTTCCACTGTCCATCTCTTGGGAAATCTCCTCGAATTCTTATTTTTTTTAGTACTGTTCAGTTACTGCTTGCTCTATTTCCACTGAGTTCAGGTACATGCTCACTAGCTGGCCCAGGGATTGAACTCACAATTGTTATATCACCAAATTCATGAACCAACGCTTTAATCAACTAGGCTATTGTCCTGTAAGCAGTAGAAAGAATACAGTCTACTTGCATATTATTATTATTATTATTATTATTATTATTATTATTATTATTATTATTATTATTATTATTATTATTATTAAAAAATATGTTTCTAGGTAAAATATTAATCAGCTAAAATAAATACAATCCTAACAAAAAATAAAAACTAATCTTTCATGTTATTTGTTAGTCTGATTGTGTGAAATAATGAATTACATCACTCATATATGATTTCTACCTTTCTGAGAACTGATGCTCTGTTTAAATTGAAAAAAATAAATTCACGTGCCTATTAATCCTTGTCCTAGAAAGTCAACATTTAAAGAATACGTTCTGATAAAATAAATGTTTGGGCTGTAAACGATTTTATCTGAACCTGTAGCAACTGGTATTTTATGACTGCCAGGAAAATCAAACCCTGAGAACATTAATCCACCAACAGCTGTCCACAAAGAAGGGAAAATGAAAAAAGTAAATAAACAATTGAAAACTTTCGGGAACAAGTGCTTTCGGCAGGAAAGTAAGGAGTGTTCCGGTTGTTGGCTTAGATAGGCCGTATTTTAAAATAACATGTGGCAAGACGTCTATCCTGATATCGAAATGGACAAATGAGAAGTAGGAGAGAGTCGGCAATAGCATTCGAAGATGTGAAGAGGTGTGGTGGCAGTAACAAATGCAGCCAGAGATAGGCAGTAGTCTCGGGGAAAGATCAGGCCTGTTAGCCGGTCGTAAGAGACGACAGAAAGAGCAGCAATTATTTATTTACTTTATTCCTTTTAACTTCCCAGATTTGGCTAGGCCAGTTATGTGCCATGAGTGATACACGCTTAGGCTATTATGTATCTTTCGATACATGACGAGGCAATTTTTTTTCCCGCAGTAAGTTGCCATTTCTTTCTGCGGTAGACCAGTTGTCATGCAAGGCTATAGAATCCGGTCTGTCCTGCTGTTTAGCCATAGCTGGGAGGAGAAGAAGAGGATCCATACCTTTCCTAAGGGTATTAGCAAGTAAGTGAATGTAATGGATTAGACTGGAATTCGAACTCGGCTCTCCGATCTCTCAATCCGAGCCGCTATAAGTACGAAATTAAATTCAGGCTATGAATAAAGAAATGAATATATTGAAGATAGGATTCGTGATTACTATTCTTGCAGTGGCGATATTTTCACCTTTAGCTTCGATGTTTCTGTTCTTGAAGTGGCGATATTTCACCTTCTGCTTTGATGTTTCTGTTCTTGCAGTGGCGATATTTCACCTTTAGCTTCAATGTTTCTGTTTTTGCAGTGACGATATTTCACCTTCTGCTTCGATGTTTCTGTTCTTGCAGTGGCGATATTTCACCTTCTGCTTCGGTGTTTCGATTGCTGTCTATGTGAACCTTTGTTCACGCAGACGGCAATCGAAACACCGGTGAATATGACTAGTCAGAGAAAAAAATCAGCGAAGATGTTTACAAGATGTGATTCTTTTTTGTCCAAGATAGTTCGCCAGTATCCAAATTACAAGAATAACGTATTTTTTTTCCGTTTTCCTTTGCTCATATCGATTTATTTTTGCCCGTCACCCTATGTATGTACAGTAGTAACATATATATTAAAATACCGAAACCTTTTTATCGTGTAATATATTATCTTTCAATTCCAAGCAGAAAACGGAAGTTATAGCTATCATAATGTTATAAGAGTCACTCGGTTTTATATTATTTCCAACTGTGATCGTCACCCGAATCGTGTATTTTATTGTTTTTCTTTCCCGCCAATTCAGTTGGTAGCAGCGATTAGCGCGGGAAATGAGAAGAGACAGTAAAGAATTGAAGATCGCCAGATGACTAGGTTAATGCAACTAAACCAATTCATCGATAATAATCGATATTGATAACGATCAGGCGTTTCTCTCAGAAAACCCCACCCACCGCCACTGATGCGCCTTCAGAACTAATCCTGCAAACAACGACCAGAAAATGACACGTCGCGGCACCCATCTTCAAGCCACTCATACCCTTTCCCCTAACGCAACGGTATAATAACTGTGTTGATGACATACGTCACAAAAGCCGCTCATGTGTAACGTCGCGCCTCATTAATTGACCCAGCATTGATCAAGTAACTTAAGTATAGAGCATTTAGAGAAATTATCCAGAAACCATAAAACAAAAACAAAACAAAATACAAAAGAAAAAGTTAGAAAAAAAAAGAAAAAAGAAAAGTAGCCATGCCGGATCAAAGTATTAATACTGAACGGCAATTACTATGGCAACAGGATAAAACTGAGCAATCATTTCTTCCTAGCTATTGTAGATATGTTTCTCCCTTGTATACCGATCTTTTTTCCTTTATGCCTGAACGTCATCAACCAGCGCAAACTATCGCCGTAACGGCGAAAATGCAAGAATCTCTTTTTATAAAAACAAACAGTAACACAAAGAAATAAATGACCAACATATTTGCTTGATTTCCTTTTCTTTGTCAGAAAAGCGAGTGCATGGAGATGCTTGTAAATTCTGTTATTCACTGCAAATAAAGCAACAATAAGTATTTCTTCCGGCGATTTAAGGCATTGGCTCAAAATCTATCACTGCATTGACAGAGGAAAACAGCGCATAACCAATCTAACAAGCTTGTGTAAGTGGATGGTAGAACAGAGTTTAGGATCGATAGCACAAGGGGAACATTTACTAAGAGCTACAAAGGACAGGAAATTGTGGAGAACCATGACCAACAACGTCCTGAAGGAATGCGGCATATCTCTATATGAAGTTGAAGAAGTTGAAAGCTGCAAAGGCAATTTTACAGTCTCGTTCCTTTTATCACTGTGTTGTAGAGTAGTTTTCACAGTGGAGGCTTGTATTTCACTGTCGGTCCTAAAAAAGATTCGACGTACAAAACGTTAGGAACTTGTTATAATAGTTAATGACGCAGCAATCTAATTGTGGTGGTTGATACTTTAATGTCCGACATCGACTGACTCACCAACTCACTGAGCTCTCTGGCGACTGCTACTACTACTACTTATTATATGTGGGAGAGTCTATTAACAATAGAATAGGTGTGTTTCAGTATAACACACTGTAAACGCTATTTTTAGTAGATACGCCCTGTACATTTATTTTCGTCTACCAGCATAAAAATTGGAGAAATTTTATTGAAGGGAAATATACGCTCCCCAGTAGGATTCGAATGTACGTTATTTCGTTTATACCAGGAAATATCTTTGCAATGTTTCGAGGATATCTTTCATGGATATGTGTTTATACTGTTCGAGTGATTAGAAAATTCATTTTCCGACCATGAAACTTGGGTTCACCTTTTCACCATGGACGATTTGACATGAAAGTGACTTTCTGATGCTATTGGCCAGGGCAGGTCATCCCCGAGTTCGTCACCTTTGGAATGTGCCCGGAAACTAGGCCACTGGTTTACCCAAGCCTAGTGAGTGAAATTCGATAGGCGGAAGGGTTCATGTATGGTTGTGCTAGCACAAAGTCACAAATCCTCGTGATCGAGGGTGTGAGCGTGCTGGCCTTGTTAAAACTGTTGATCACACCAGATGATACGCTCTCTCCCAGAAAACCGTGACTAAGGTCCACTCAGCAGATGCACGCTATCAGTGTCGGAAAAACATACCAGGAATTGGATAACTACCCTAGGAGAACGTATGCTCGAAAAGGAATAATAGATAGATAGATAGATAGATAGATAGATAGATAGATAGATAGATAGATAGATACTGTACTGATTTAGATAGATAGATAGATAGATAGATAGATAGATAGATAGATAGATAGATAGATAATGTACAAATTGAGACAGGCAGGCAGATAGATAGATAGATAGATAGATAGATAGATAGATAGATAGATATTAAGAAATATACATAATATCTTACACTAATTGGACAATTCTGAGTTTCATGGCGAAGAAATTTTTAAGTGGTGGAATTATTATATTTATTTTTATTTTTATTTAAATTTTTTTTTAAATTATTAAAAATAAAAATAAATATATTTCCAGCACTTGAAAATTCCTTCGAAATGAAACTCAGACTTGTACAATTAGTGTAAAATATTACGTATATTTCTAACTATATATTAAATAGCTCTGTTACTTAACACTGACGACTTTTTTCTTACACTATAGAGTATTTAGATGTATATTGTATACGATCGCTCACTCGTATACCTACCTATATATACCCATTCGGACACACACACACACACACACACACACATATATATATATATATATATGATAAAATATAGTTTTTAGGTATGCTTTATTTATGGGTTAAAGTGTACAATATCATGAGTGTATGTAAATATAAAAGTGGACATTGAAATCAACACCTGAAGGCGACAGTCTGTTTCATGCCAAACGCAATCGATTGTTTAGCATGAAACAAACTGTTGCCTCCAGGTGTTGAAATCAATGTCCACTTTTACATATATACATACATACATATATATATATATATATATATATATATATATATATATGTGTGTGTGTGTGTGTGTGTGTGTGTGTGTGTGTGTGTGTGTGTACATATATGGGTATATATATACTTTTTACATATATGCATATATATATGTATGTATGCATATATGTATGTATATACTTTTTACATATATATATCGCAAATATAATGCTGATAATAAATCAGTGCTTGATGTAATATAACAAGGCTCTTACTCAGCACCTGAAGATTGCATGAAACTCCGACTCGTGCTACCAATGAGAGATAATATGTATGTTTATCAATAAGACGCTCACCTTTTTCTCTTTTCGTACAAGATAAAAGGTGTTAAGTTTCAATGTGTATATCTAAGTACAATCTTTAATCAACTTGTTATCCTTTATGAAAACAAGAACAAAAAATATTTAATCATTTCACCCCAAGCAAGTCAATAAAGCCACTAGGACGCTATGTTTCACTGAATGTTAAAGAGTACAATAAAAGAATAAGAATTAAGAAAGCAGAAGACTATTGAGATTGCATTAAAATATTTGAAGGTAAAAGTTAACTGGGAGGCAAGAAGCCGGAAGAGAATTCCACAAGCGAGAAGTGCGACAGAAGAAACTGTCAGCATAGAACTTACAGTTGCATCTAGCGGTCATTTCAACTGTAAAATGATGAGACCTTGCCGCCAATCTAGTACTGCATTTAAATTCAGAAAGTCTAGTTACCACAGCGGAAAGTTCTTCAGAACAATTACCATGAAAGTATTTAGAGAAAAGGCACAGGATAGTTTCATTACGGCGGTTAGAAAGTAACCAAATCCGAGATTCCAGGTCAGGACCAATATCATTGCAGATTGTTCTTTAGATTTTATCAAGAATCTTTAAATGTATAGCAGGAGCATCAGACCAGATGTGGTAACAATATTCAAAGCAAGGGCGAATGGTAGACTTATAAACATGTAAAATAGATTCTGGCAAGACAAACTGTCTAGCACGACACAGTGAAGTATCTTTCTTAGCAGCAGACCCAGTAATTAATTCAATATAATCTTTTCACGTCAAATCGTTAAAGAAGGCGCAGAGAGTTACTCTCCTGGGGGTTGGCATCAGCCATGCTAAAAGGTTAAAATAAGCCTCATCTGTTCTCTTCAATAAAAGTTGCTTAAATATAAATTTGCTTCCAAAATATATATTTTATCGTGCGTGTGTATGTGTGTGTATGTATATGTGTGTCTGAATGAGTGAGTGTGAGAGAGAGAGAGAGAGAGAGAGAGAGAGAGAGAGAGATTATTTTATTTTTCCTGGCTTGGTAGTTGACGTCCACCCTTGTTAACTTCTAACGTCACCCCCCCCCCCAGGATACGAATTTAGATAAAATGATTTCCTGCACAGTGGACACCGACCACAAAAATTATAAATCAAATGCGCGAAGGTGTGTTCGTCATTCGTCATTCCTTCTTCCTGTTCTGAATTCCAGTTTCTCGTTCTGTCGACATTTAGTTTCGTTCCATCATGTCATTCACGACGGGAGCGAGAAAAATCAAGCGAGATTCCCGATTAGGATATTTGCATTCATTTATTTATTTCTAATGTGTGTGTGTGTGTGTGTGTGTGATTATATTTTAATTTGTTTCTGTATAGATTTCAGTCTCCGTGCTTGTGGGTAAGTTTCTCTGCGTATGCATATGTATTTTATGTGTGTCTGTGCGTGTTTGTATGTTTATGCGTTCTTGTATTTAGTGTCTTACATCTTCTCTGTGTGTGTGTATGTGTGTATGTATGTATTTGTATAGGTTTATGCATTTGAGTATATATTCATGTGTTCGCATGTGCTTGCGTGTATATGTGTCCGTCTGTCTCTGTTTTTGTGTACTTGTATGTGTTTAATTGCATTATTTACATTATTCGGGCTTATTATCCTCTTCATTAGCATATTCACAAGGTTTCGGCCGTTTTACGCTCCCGCCTTCTACAGATGATTGGAATTTCGAACCGAATCCTTTATTTCATCAACCGGGGTAGATTGTTCTAGTTCCACGTGTTATGCCTCTTCCGGATATCCCAGTTATTTCCCTTTCTAAGTTTGGTCCACCACTGCTGTAGTCTGGTATTGAACCCACAGCTCTTTGGGTCTAGTCACTGGATCTAGCCAACGCTTTTATCCACTGCATGTGTCTTTGTGTGCGTCTTTAACGCTGTGCGTGTTTGTGTTTATATGTGTTTGTGTGTGCCTATGTGTCTTAATGTGTTTTTCTGTTTGCGTGTACTTGTTAGGAAATGAGTATTTGTGTCTTTCTGTGTGCGTATGCATTTATACGTGTGTGTTCATATCTGTCTATGTGTACCTCTGTATCTCTTTTCAGGTTTGTGCGTTCGTGTGTGTTTCTGTGCGTGGATGTCCGTGTGTGTGTGTGTGTGTGCGATTGCTGCTAGAGTTTAAGATAATGCTTAACACGTAACTAAAACAGAATCAAACGAAGCATTGAACGGTGTATACTTTGAAGTCGCCTTCATCTGTCAACATTTTCAGCCTACCCCTGAAAGGGCCTATGGTCGTACCTGCCTGTCCGCCTACAGCTCGATTAGCTTCGCTGTCTCGGACCGGCAACCAACTTCTTTGTTATTCATTGTTCGAAAGAAGTGAAAAAGTTCAACTGCACTTAATGAATGTAACTAAAGGAAGTCATTAAGAAAATGTAGGCCTCTGATGGTAACGCTTCTATGTAACTCTGTAGGGCAAAACACGAGCCTTTAAAAACTGGGAAGCTGTCCCCCACACTATAATTTCAAAGGTTATAAGCGTTTGCGTGTTACTTTTAATGATACATAATCACGAGAGAAATATTTCGTTCATAAATTATCTCACCGAAATTTAAAATACAATTAACCTGATTATCTATGTACCGGGCGTAACAGCAAAATTGTCCAAATCGTGTAACAGCATGCGATAATTGTCCACCCCACAAAATGTTTAATATGTAAAAAAAAAAAAAAAAAAAAAACTAAATTAATTGAGTTTCTTTCTTCCAGGTTTTTAGATAAGATGTTTAGCCATCTTGACACGATTTGTCATGAGAATCAATGAAAAACCTTTTGAGTTATTTCAGCTAGAAACAGAACAGGTTGAAATCGTTCTGTCAGGCACACTGTGACTTCCCAACTGAGAAATGGTGAGAGGAAAAAGATCATTCAAGCCTTCAGTATTGGTACCAAAATTTATAATCTGGCTTCCATATTCAGAGTCAATTTAAGAACCATCAAGAGAGGGAAGAGTAGAGAGGAAAATTAAATCAGGAGGTCACAACTGGAAGAGGGATTATCATTTCAAACCTGGGAAATTTCTAGTAAGATACAACGGTTCAAAGCTTAATCTAACAAATGGACGATTTTGCTGTTACACGATTTGGACAATTTTGCTGTTACACTATTTGGACAATTTTGCTGTTACACGATTTGGACAATTTTGCTGTTACACTCGGTATATTGATGTTCCATACTGTTACGTTGTGTGACTTTGACTGGTTCAACGACTGATAACTTTCTTTGGTTTCTTTTCCTCGCTTTATTCCAGTGAGGTTGGCGACACAGTAATAACAACTTCGTTTCTTGGAGGAAGCGAGACGGTGAAGAAGATAGTGAGGGTGATGCTTAACAGTGACTTGACATCGCCACATAGTGGCTTGACCCGAGCTGAGGAAATAAGGCATGCCAAAGAATCTGGACGCGAAGAAGAATCTTTAACCTTCTACTTCCGCCACTGTACTCACTGCTTTCGGGCTGGGATAGATAGATAGATAGATAGATAGATAGATAGATAGATAGATAGATAGATAGATAGATAGATGTAGCAATATCCGTGTCAACCGATATCTTGCTAAATGGAATCATCTGAAAAACATTACTGAAATTGTTCCTTAGAGTTATTGTCCTGATGGCTGTCAGCTAAGGGTAGCGGACCTCAAAACCACGTCGAACGATCCTGACAAAGAGCTCACTAAGCTAGAACTTGAGTCATTGATAAGACAAGGTGATAAGACAACGAATGATGTCCTCTAGAAGACAGTGGCCACTAGCGCCGAAAACAAAGAGAATCACAGAAAGCGGACAGAAAGGAACGAGAAACCGCTCAATTCAATATGAAAAGGAAGAGACACCCCTCAGACTGTTCACCCCCCGCCTCAGCTCCTTTTCATCCCTGCTTCGATCGTCTGCAACAGAAGGTTACAACCTAATAAGATTTGCTTAATGTTACAATCGGCTATTGGTTTTAATTCGTTGGTATTAATCTGACCAAAGTGTTATTTTTTAAGACGCAAGTGTTTGTCCGGAAGAAGCTGCGCTCTGAGAACGAACCTAGTGTCTGATCTGAGCTGCAACGCTACATAGATAGATAGATAGATAGATAGATAGATAGATAGATAGATAGATACTGACCAGACTGGGATAGATAGATAGATAGATAGATAGATAGATAGATATGAACAGACTGCGATAGATAGATGAAAAACCCGACTACACGTGTCATGTAGGCTAATACATGCTTAGTCCGATAAGTATTGATCTACAATAAAGTGTCGGAAATATTATACCCCCCACCAGGTAATGTAAACAATTTTGTTATATATGTGGGTGGAGCTGATGACGAGTTCTAGGTCTCCATTTCCAGAAAGGAATATAAAATAAAAGAATTGATGCTTCGTTTTTGGGTCAGATTTCGGGAAGTAGGTCGAAAAAAATCACACTTTCCGAGTATAAAATAAATTGAAAAAATATTTTCTGATCATGTCCATAAGTTTCTAGAACTTTTTGGTAGCGTAACTTCGTTCGAAATTAATCTAGAATTATTTTTATTGGAATCTCCGTATGCAGCACCCAAAATGCATTTCCTTCATACTTTGTAGATGCCGCGGAGTTTGCAGTGTTGAAGAAAAGACGAACCTGTTAGTCTGATGTGAAAACAATATCAGTATTAGCGCTGATTTTGAGCTGGTCTTGAACTGCCATTGGCATTTTTTGAAGAAATGAGAAGGAATAACGAGGAAGTTCCAAATCGACTCTTGATGGAAGTCGTTGTCTTCTTCGAGAAGCGTCAAAATATGCTCGAAGTGCGACAAAAAATAAAGTTGGTCATAATATTACTACGAAAAAAAGAAGGGTCTGCAATATAATCGATCCTGACCTGGCATCTCGACTTTAGTCACATTCACATCGTCGTGACATGACTTTCCTCTGTCTTTTTTTTTTAAAGCATTCAATCCCAAGCAAGGCAGGGAGCCACTAGCACGCAAGGGGTTACAGAGAGTTGGAGCAAGAGCAAAGAAGAGTGATAGAGGAAAGGAAGAGGAGAAGGATAGGGGATAGATCAGGGCATATGGAGATGTCGATTGACGTTACATTTGAATAGTTGGAGATTATAGCTATCAGGAAAACAAGAAATGGAGAGGGAGTTCCACAGGCGAGAAGTGCGAGACATGAAGCTATTGGAGTAGAAGAGACGGCTACATTTAACAGTTTCGACAGTGAAAGGGTAAAGAAGATATCAGCCTATATGAACTCTTAAATTCATGAAGTCTGGGAACCAGCGAAAGCAGCTCATTGGAGAAGTTACCGTGAAAGTATTTGTAAAAAAAAGACAGAGGAAGGCAACGGCACGTCTGTGAGAGAGCGGCTGCAGCTTTTCTAGAAATATTTTCATAGCAATTCTTATGATAACTTTAGTGTCTCGACTGCATGTAATTAAGCGTCCAACTAGATTAGCAACTAGGTCTCACCATTTTTCTGTTGAACTAGCAACACTCAGAGTTCTTTTATAATACTTTCTTTATTACCTATGGAACTCGTCCTTCCCTAGAATCTTTAAAAATATAAATACAACGGCAATCGCTATCTTCTGTCTTCCTGAATCCTGTTCTTTTATTGTCCTATTTATCACTTCTTCTCACTAAAGTCTTATTCTTTTTCACGTCCTGTAAACCCCTGCGTGGCATTATCGCTTTACTTGGGGTGAAATGATAAAAAAAAAGATGGCCAGCAAATCTATCTATTTATCTCAGTACTGACCAGGCTCAACGTTGCTTAACTTCGGGGATCTTACAAGAACCGGTGTTTCAACGTGGTATAGCCATAAATATAACGAAACCCACTTTAATTGGAACGTGGCTCTCCGTGTTCCTTTTCCGAGCCGTTATCCATTACACCAACGCTAAGATAACCACACCTGGTATTCCCAAGCGGTCACCCATCTATGTACTGATCAGGCTCAACGTTGCTTAACTTCGGTGATCTTACAAGAACCGGTGTTTCAACGTGATATAGACATAAGCTTTAGGCATCTTAGTATGTCAGTACCTTGGTAATAGATATTTATAAGTATTTTAGTAATCATCCATAGTAAGAACAGGGTCTAACTCGATGAAATTGTACACCTACACAGTTAGGACATATCTGTCATTTAGTAAAGATGTCGAATTCTCAATTTGTCCATAAAGTTTAGGAATGAAGATGAAGAACAGCGGGCAACTAGCAGAGATAATTGTGCCGCTCCATTGTCCAACAAATGTGGTACAGGTCGTTCATCAACTTTGGCAGTGAAGCTTTTCAAAAATAATTTACCACAAATGGCACAGGTCGATGTGCAGGTTAAATGGTTATTGTTCAAGTTGTCGGTCAACTTTAGGAATTAAGCGTTTCGCTGGAAATGCATGGAAATCTAATAGATATTTTTTGCGGTTTGGCGTTTCACTGAAAATGGAGATCCTTGGATTTGGTAATGTGGCTTTTAAGAAAACAACTGCATGCAAATGGCAAACAAATTTGTTACAGATCAGTGGTCCACTAGAAATGAGGATTTACTTTTTTTAATTATGTTCCCCAGAATCTATTTTACATATCTATAAGTCTCTCATTCGTCCATGTTTAGAATATTGCTGCCAAATATGGTCCGGTGCTTCTGCTATATATTTAGAGATTCCTTAGATGAATCTGCAATATTAAAGGTCTTGACCTGGCGACCCGGCTTCAATCCTTTTACCACCGCCGTAAAGTTGCTTCCATGTGACTTTTCTATAAATACTTTCATGAGCTCTTCGCTGTTGTTTTATTCCCGTCTCCCCACAGACAATGAATTCCACATATAGGATCTAGTTTAGGATTTTCATAGAGACAATGAGGTATTATGGTGGTTGTAGTAAGAAAGGTAAGTAAGAGTGCGTAGTTTTGGTGTAAATAATATTGTTGTATGTTTGGGTCAGTGTTTGTGGCTAGCTAAGTTTAACGTTAAGACAGAAAAAGACCGTCCTTTTCCCCGTCCCCCATTTGAACCTTGTGCCACATTTTCTGTATTGAAGCGAAAATAAATATAATTCACTGTGGTACCCAGACTTCATGAATTTAAGCGCAGTACGAGATGGGAATGAGGTTTCATCAGTTTATAGTTGAGATGGTTAGATGTAACCTTAAGTTCTATGCTAACAGTTTCTTTTCTCGCACTTCTCGGTTGTGAAATTCTGTTCCGGCTCCATGCTTTCAAGTCTTTAACTTTAATCTTCAAAAAATTTAAATGCAATGTCAGTCGCTATCTGCTGTCCCCATGATTGCTCTTCCTCTGTTCTCGGTCTTAATAATTGTCATGGGTCCTTACCTATAACTACAGAATTAACTTTTCGTAACACTATGTATACTACGCCTCTCAAGAGAGAGGATCGAATCAAGCCGAGGCTTCTCGGCTTAACGGTCGAATTCTCTGCCTCTGAGCAGAGAGGAACCCGGACGAGGCTCCGCCGAAGGGCAGAGTCTCGTTCGGGGAGGTTGACCAACCCGATCCCGTTTATACTGGTTCTACAGGCATTTTTGGCCGAGCCTACGGGCTCGGGAAACCCACGTTACACTCGGCCTTGTGCCACATGCAACCCTCGTGGGGGGCTAGATACCGAATCGAGTCGAGCCGATAGTAGTTCGCTCCAAACCAGACTGACAGTCATACTAACACCTTCCACATCTTGTATTATTATTTGTGTTCGTGTTGTTCTTCCTTGTTCCTAATCTGGACCATAACAATAATGTTTTTGTTTTCTAATTCTTCCCCACCCAGTAACCTCTTGTGTCTTAATGGCTTTACTGCTTTGCTTGGGGTGAATTCGATTTTTAAAAAAGCTACCATTCGTCCATGCCTACAATATTGCTGTCACATATGGTCCGGTGCTCCTACTATATATTTAGGAATTCTTGATAAAAGCCATAGAAGAATCTGTAATATTATTGGGCTTGACCTGGCGTCTCGGAATATTAGTGGTCTTGATTTGGCGTCTCGTCATTTTCGCACTGTTATAAAGTTGCAACCCCGCGGATTTTCTCGCAGAAAATTGTGTAAAATGGTAGAACTAAAAGTTAAATTTGCACAAAAAAATCATCAACTTTTCATAAACCAAGAGTGTTTAAATATCACAGAGAGTCGTGCAGGTTGATTGTTCATTAACCCTTTGACCACTGACCACCGCTTTACCAGTGGTAGAAAGAAATGACGTAATGCCAAGGATCTGGTTGAACGGTGGGTAAACACTTGTGACTATTTTTATATCTACCAGGAAACATTACATACCAATTATTTGCGAAATTTAACTCAAGAGCTCAGGCAGAAGGGTTAAAATTGTTCAGGAACGTAGGACTCAAAGAGTTAATAAAGGAGATTACTCTGAGTGCCCGTTAAAATTTGGAGTGGAACTTTTCAACAACTGTCTGCAATTGGCTCATATACCTATGAGTTTTGCTGTTCAATATACACATCAATTACACAGATCTTTTCAAAAGGCAACTGCGTGCAAATTGCACATTTAGATGTGATCAGTTGTGCAGCAGTCATCGATGGCTCAGATCATATATAGACTTTAAGAAAGAAGGCTTTCAAAAAAAAAAACAGCTGCGTGTAAATGGCCCAGGGAGGTCGGTGACTCAGATCGTCCATCAAATTAATCAAATATTTAGTATTTTTTATGAATACTATTTTAAAATGCATGTGTAGAGGTACCTATGTTTCATAGATTACACAAAATCATTTCATAAGCTAGGAGACAATGATCTATTTGAACTGCTAGAACTTTTTATATTTATAAATAACATACAAATAATCCAGAATATATTCTTCCCCTATGCGAGCGATGATTGCTCTCCACAATTTCCTCTCTTTTGTAGCTCTTTATAATCCCTGTTCTGCCAACCATTATACAAGCAGGTTAGGTAGGTTATGCTTTCCTCTGTCTCTCTTGGCTTTTATATGTCGTATGAGTGTCAAATTTTCTAAGCCATCTTTCCTCATTATGTTGTTTCGAATTTTTAACTGTCTCTTATAAATGTAAGTGTCTTTTTTCTTTCCATTTTCCGTAAAACTTCGTAGTTACACACATTTTCAGTGCGTGATATTCTTAGTATTCTTCTGTAGAACAACATTTCTGTTGCCTCGAGTCTCTTCTTTATCTGCGAAGAGATTGTCTAGCATTCATTGCTATATAAGAGGGCTGATATTAAATAAGATTTAAATAATCTTTTCTTTGTTTCTAACGTTTTTAT